CAAAATAACTCAATGATAAAGATATTAAGAAAATAAAGAAGCATCTCTGGAAAAATGGTGGGGGTAGCGAGTAGCAGAGAAAGGTACTCTCCAATATTTGGTGTCCAGACACTGGAATATAGGAACATGAGGAACAGAAGGAGGGAAATAGGTCTCTGGGACCCAGGAAAGATCTGAATTGAGAATTAAAGCCCATGGGAGAGCAAAGAGAGGAAACTTCAACAAAGAAAGAAGGAGGGGCATTTTCTCCCAGAAGATAGACTTACTGCAAGTGAGAGGCTGCTTGAGTCTGCAGATGCTTGGCGACTGCTGATGACCCCAGAGGTCTCCATGGAGAAGCACAGCGGTAGCATTGAAGAGTTCTCTCCCAACAAGGCTGTCCTTGTTGGGAATTTGCTTAAGACAAGGAGATTGGCTGGGAGACATTTTGGAGAGAGGTTCACTGAGCTTGGGACTTGGAGTGGCAGCTGAGTCCACCTGGTGGCTCCCAGCTGAGTATAAGAACACAGGGTCCTGGAAACTGCTGTGGCTGGGTGGGTCTATTTCCAGCGTTAAAGCTGGAGGCCAGTCTGAGAGTCAGTGGAGAAAGGGATTCAGGCTCGTTATCCACTACTCTGCCATGGAGTTGCTGTTGGCTTGCTGTTTTTGATTGACCTAGATCTGCACTCTGTCTGCCCACACTGTCTACTGGTGGCAGCAAAGCCATGCCTTGAAGTGGACAGTTTTTCTTTTTCTTTCTTTCTTGTTTTTCGGTTGTTTTTTGTTTTCTATTCATTGTTTGTTCTTGTTTCTATGTGCATGAACACTGTTTCTAGTTTTCTTTGTTGTTGTTGCTCTGTTCTATTCTTGTTTTTATTCCTTCTGTCTTCCGCACTGGTTTCTCAAAGTTTCTTCTCTGCCTCCTTTCTCCTCAACCTTACTTCTAATCTCTTCCTTTTCCTCTATTTCTCTATTTCATCTCCAACATTGTTTACATTGTCTCACCTGAGGATCAAACTATCATGTCTAGGACTTTTTTTACTGCTTACAGTTTTCTGGTTTGTTCTAGATTTTGTTACACACACACAAGTCTACTTCATAGGGCTAAAGCTGGAAAATTAATACTACTTCAGTTTGTCATGTCTAGGCTGTGTTTAATGCTATTGTCATTGCTGGTTGTACCACTTTAGCCAAAGTGACATAATTGCTCTAACCAGTTGTTCTTCCTGGTACAATAAGACTGAGATTGCCTAAAAAAAATAAAAATGCTATAAGCCAGTGCCATAAAACCAGAGTCTGGGCCAAGTGGGCAGCAATCTCAGCCTCAATAAACAGAAGAGGTGGGATCTTGTAACGATTCAAAAATCAAAAGCCAATTTGAATCAAATATCTAAATATTAAAAATCAAAGCACTAGATAGGTAGCCAGAATAAGAAGGTAGGAAATAGGAGGAGAGAATAGATAAAACTCTTGAAAACACTGGTTTAGGCAAAGACTTTATGAATAAAACTCCAGTCACACAGGAACTATCAAAAAGAATCAGTAACTGGGATCTCATTTTATTAAATTTTTTTTCTTTTTTTAATTTTTATTTTAAAGAAGATAAAACCAAGGAAAATAAAGCAGAGTAAAACCAATCAAAACAAACCAGTGTAAGTGACATAGGATTTCAAAATAATATGAAATCAGTAATAGTTATCAAAATGACTCTTGCTGTACTCAAAATAGCTGTGGATACCCTCAGACATAGTGAAAACTGAACAGAACAGAACCAAGAAAAATAAAACAGTGAAGGCAATAAAGGACTTCAAAACAAGACAGTGGTAAATCCAAAATGGCCATCATAATAGATCTTGCTATCTTTGAAATAGTTGCACTTGCCATTGTATATAACAAAATCAAACAAAACAGAACAAAACCCAACTCAACAAAACAATGAAAATGATACAGGACAATAGATAATCAACAATGGCTGCCACCCTGAGAAAGAGATCCCCCATAGATGCCACACTGCATACTGCTGTCCTCTGAGTAGATAATCAGACCACTGGCCCTACATGTGCAAGGTCAACGAAACATCAAAGCACCACAAGCATCAAATTTCACCTCAATAGCTGGCACCACAGCCTGTGTTTTTCTGGATCAGATGGTCACTTATGGAGTAAGACTGGGGATTGGCTCTTCTTTTTTGCCAGCCTACACACTGCAAGGGGCTGAGGTTTGCCCCCGCCCCTCCACTGGCAGTGGCCCACTTATGGTAATAGTTGGCAGGGAGGGCTTGCTTTTTGGTGAGGCCTTGTTCTCTCCCCCTGCAGTTCAGGAGTGGTACTGACTTACAGGGCAAGGCTTGGGTCTGGCTGCATTAAAAAACTTTTGCACAGAAAAAGAAATCACAATCAGAGTGAAAAAACAATCCACAATGTGGAAAAAAAGAATTCCCAGGTGTTCGTCAGACTGACAACTACTGTCCAGAATGTATCAAGAACTTGAAAACATCAGACCTCCCAAATTTAAAGATCCAGTCCAAAAAATGGGCATCTTAAATAGACACTTCTCATAAACAGAAGTAGAAATATCAAATAAATATTTATGCGAAAATGTTCAACATCATTGGCTATTCAAGAAATGCAAATAAAAACAACAATAAGATTCTATATCCCCTCAGGTAGAATTCTGTTCTCAAGAAGTCAATCAATAATCAATACTGGCAGGACTATGGGGAAAAAGGAACCCTTCTCTGTTGGTGGGCATGTAGACTGGTACAATCACTGTGAAAGTCAGTGTAGAGATTCCTAAAAATCTAGCACCCAGGTTTCCCTTTGACCGAACTACTCATTTTCTGGTGTCTTCACAAAACAATTCAAAGCGCCATACTAACAGCCACATGTGCTTACCCATTCTTATAGCAGCACAATTTTTAATAGCTAAATCTTGGAAACAGCTCAAATGCCCATCAACTGAGGAATGGATAAAGACAATGTGTGGTTTTTTTTTTAAATACAATTAAGTATTACTCTGCCAAAAAGAAGGATAAAGTTGAGACATTTCCAGCTAAATGAATGCACCTTGACGCCATTCTCCTAAGTAAAATATATCAGACTCACGTGTGTACATGCTGTACAATTTCACTGGTGTGAGAAACTGAAAGTGTAAATAAGGACCATAACGTCAAATGGATGTAATGAAATAGGAAGAAGATGTTAAAATGGAAAGAGAGTGGGAAGGGAGAAAGGAAGAACCGAGAAAGAAAAAAATGATGAGAAAAGAAGGAAAATGGAAACAAAGCTTTAGGAGAGAAAGAGAGGCGGAAAGGAAGTAGACAGAGGAAGGGGAAAAAGAACCAAGTTACATCATGTACAGGTACAAATTCCCTATAATGAATGTGATCATGAAGCATACCTAAAATATACCAATAAACCAGGCTAGTAAAAAACAAGAACAAAAAAGTTGGCTCCACCTTAAAAAAAAAAAAAAAGGAAAGAAAAGATGTTCAAAGAGAATCTGGAGAATCAAATGAATCATGAATTATTCAATGAGAATAAGTATCATTTACTCAACTGTTATTGGTAGTTGATTTATTATGTTTTCTGTTGCTATAACCTTGTACCTGGGCCTTGGCAATCTGTTAACGAAAGAAGCTTATTTTGACTTATGTTTCTGGAAGGTGGGAAGCTGAAGAGCACAGTGCTAGCATCTGGCTAGGGTTTTGTGGTACATGTTAGCATGGTGGAAAAGCAGAAGGGCCAATGAGCACATGAGAAAGAGTCAAAACATGAAGGGTGGCTTCACTGTATAATAACCTACTCTTGAAATAACTAACCCAGGCCGTGACAAGAGCATTAATGCCTCTTGAGTGGATTGGAATTGAGAGTAATAAATTGCAGTTCTTCACCCGGACTAACTGCTGTAGCTGTGCTAGTCTGGGCAAAACCTTTATGCTCTTTGGGTATCATTTTTCAGTTCTGGAAAACAAAGGATTAAGCTAACAAAAAAGGTAACGTTGCGTAGTGTCTGTGTGCTAGACACTCTGTCAAACACATTTCCATCAGTTTTACAATAATCTATTAAGAAGGCTCTATAATTACGTTCATATCAATGAAAGATCTGAAGCAATCTAATTTTTCTAATATTTAAGTCTGTACTTTTTATATCTTTAATAATTGAAGGAGAAAATGAATTTCTTGGAATATAAACTGATACTCTGATTTTTAAAAAAGTAATTATATATAAAGAAGAATCAATAGTCTTGCTTACTAATCCATTTGAAAACTAAAAATGTTTAGATCTGTTTTCAGGAACTAGAGCTAAACAAACTTTAGTTAAATTTAATAATCCTGATGTATGAATTTGAATGACACAGTATTTTGATATGTTTGAAAGACTGGAACTCTTTCAATATTTGCTTTAAAAAGATTTTAATAATGTAAAACTCAGACTTGAATTCAAGCACTTTGAGATTATTAGCGTTTTTGGTGCTTACAGAACTAGGTCACAGAGATTTGTTATTCTTAAGCTTTAAGAAACTATGTTGACATTTGGGATAAAGAATTGTATTTATATCCCCAAATTCTGATAAATATGGCAAATTGATGTTTAACTGTCTGAGGAAAATAGACTATTAGAGAACTGTAAGCTGATTTTTTTCAACAATTAAACTGGCTAATATGTCAGGACTGGGAAAATTTAAACATTTTTAAGATCTCTAATTCCCTGTCTAGCACCTATCTCTGATGGCAATGATTCAGACCACTGTTATGAAGTCTGAGAGCCTGCAGGCCTAGTCTAGATTCTAAATTCCTCAGACAAAATATTTTGTAATGTGGAGCAAGGTGGGATTTTTTTTTTTTTGGCTTAATTTGTTGTGTCTATCAACATTTCCCAGAACTTGATCCATAAAACACTAACACTATTCTTTGGGCTAATCTACGTCTTCCTTAGAAAATTGTTCTGTGTTCAAACCCATTTCAGTATCTAGGTGAAACAAAATAAACAAAAAATGTATAGTCTCAGTATTTATTATTAAATATGCTTTGCATTTTTGATCAACAAATATTTGGTAAACAACATCCTTGGGTAAACAGCATCTACCACTGTAGATGGTTTTTGGGGTTAAGAGACACATTTTTCCTGGTAGGCTTTAGAGCTAGGAGAAACATTTTTCTTCCTCAGTAAAGGAAGAACTGTTGAAAATCTCTTGTAAATCTGTAAGTGAGTTGTAAAATATGCCGAGTTTCTCATTTTTTGGTTTTGTTTTTTAGCAAAATGTTGCCAATTTTATTTTATTTTTTCAGCTTTATTGAAGTAAATTTGACAGATAAAAATGATATAAATGTAAATTATACATGATGCTTTGATAATCATATGTATGTTATGACTAATTACTGCATGTTTTTTGACCACAATAGTTTTCCTCATTTTCTCTCCTGGTTTTCCTTCCTATCTCACTCCTTCCCTTCCTTCTTCTGTCCTTGTTTCCTTCCTTTTTATTTCCTCCTTGTTTCCTCCTTCCTCCTCTCTCCTTCCTTTTTTCTTCCTACCTTTCTCCTTTTCTCTTTCTTTCTTTCTCTTTCTTTCTTTCTTTCTTTCTTTCTTTCTTTCTTTCTTTCTTTCTTTCTTTCTTTGTTTCTTTCTTTCTTTCTGTGGCGCATCCCCAAGGATTACTTTTCTAAGGAACATACTGTACTTTGGATAAATATAAGACTACACTGATGGAATGACTCCCTAGATATTATGTTTATTTCAGTGTTTTCCTTAAAAAGTGCAGATGTTAAGTAATAAGGATGGGATAAGCAAGCAATGAGGTTGGCCCAGCTGATAACTGTACACATGAAAGTTTCCTAAGTGTACTCTGTCGTGATGAGGTCAGCTCTTGGAGTGTACAGACAGGGTAAAGAGAGAAGATCTTGAAGTAGTGAGGTTTTCAATAGTTTAATGTCAGAGGAGATGCTAATGATAACACTTATGTTTAGATGTTTTTGAAATACAAGTAACACAGTTTGAATTATAACTAGAGAAATTCTGTTGGCATAGTCTCTTCTTTTTCATCTGCATATAGGGTTGATGTCATTAGGAGACTACTTTGTGCTCTAGGTATCTTTCCTTTGTAGAGGAGAAGCAAGTAATAAAAGAAACAAGAGAAATGCAAATTAAAATACTGCTGAGATTCCATCTCACTCTAGAAAGAATGACCAAGATCAAGAAATAACAGAAGAGAACAAGAACTCACCAAGAAGCAAGCCCTCCCTGTCAACCAGCACCATGCGTGGGCTGCTGCCAGGGCCCACCCCCTTCCAGCACATGAGCTGGGAAACAAGAACAGCTGGACCCCCTACCCTTCAAGCAACCGGCTGATCTGGAGAAACACAGGCTGAGATGACAGCTGTTGAGGTGAGATGCAATTTAATGCTTGTGTTGTTTAGTGTTTCACTGACTTTGCAGATCTAGAGCCAGTAGTCTGATCATCTGTTCAGAGGACAGCAGTATGCAGTGTGGCATCTATGGGGGATCTCCTTCTGAAGGTGGTAGCCATTGTTGATTCCCTATTATCTTGTTTTGAAGTCCTGTATCATTTTCATTGTTTTGTTGGGTTGGGTTTTGTTCTGTTTTGTTTGATTTTGTTATATACAATGGCAAGTGCAACTATTTCAAAGATAGCAAGATCTATTATGGTGGCCATTTTGGATTTACCATTGTCTTCTTTTGAAGTCCTTTATTGCATTCATTGTTTTGTTTTTCTTGGTTCTGTTCTGTTCTGTTCAGTTTTCACTATTTCTGAGGGTATCTACAGTTGTTTTGAGTACAGTAAGAGTCACTTTGATAAGTACTATTGTTTTTAAATCCTGTGTCACACTGGTTTGTTTTGATTGGCTTTATTCTATTTTATTTTGCTTAGTTTTACTCTCTTTAAAATAAAATAATAGCAAAAAAATCACCAATAACAAATGCTGGAGGGGCTTTGGGGAGAAAAGAACTCTTCACCATTGTTGGTGGGAGTGTAGGCTGGTGTAGCCACAATGGAAGTTAGTGTGGAGTTTTCTCAAAAAGCTAGGGTTAGAGGTCCTATTTGACCTAGGTATCTGCTTCTGGGCATTTTCCCAGAAGAATTGAAAATATCATACCATATTTATAGCAACACAATTTGTAATAGCCAAATCTTGGAAAGAACCCAAATGTCCATCAAGCAAGGAATGGATAAAAAAAGATACATTATTTTTATACAATGGAGTACTACTCAGCTATTAAGAAGGATTGCATCCAGGCTTTTATAGGTAAATGGATGAGATGAGACCATACTCAGTAAAATAAATCAGACTCACATGTGTAAATACCGTGTTGTCTCCCTAGGGTAAGAAACTGAATGAGTAAGATAAATCTACAATAGATGTGAAAGGGTAACAAACTGTTCAAAGGAGAAAAATAACTGGGATGGGGAAAGGAGAAAAGAAGGATGGGAAAAGGAAAAAAGATATACATTTGTTTATATGTACATAAATAACTAAGATGATTATACTACTAATTCTATTAGTTCTTGGAAACGAACAGTTAATACTCATATGTTTGGATCAATTTTGCATGTCTGTATCTGGTAATCTAAGCAACTCTTTTGAAGATAATATGAAATATTACCACCATTGTTCAATTCCTATCCTCTTGTTTTGAAAGCCTATATCATTGTTTTGGGTTTTTTTGTGGTTGTTGTTCTTGTAGTTGTTGTTTGTTTACCTCTTATTTTTATTTTCTATTTTTTTTTCTCCTTAAGAAAAAAGAAGCAGAGGTTTAAAATTCTGGGGGAAATGAGATAGAAGCAGAACACAGGAACAAAAGCTAGAAAGCTACAATAGTTTCCACCCTAGAAACGTCCTGTGTGGATCCATTAACTTACATCTTGCACAGAAGCGTGGGACCTGAGCCTGTGGGATGCTCAACACTGTTGTATGAAATGAGCACTAGTTTATGGTGCTGGGGTAGCATCAGGAAAGGACACGGCTTTGCCGTTAGACATGGGTCGAAAAGGAAACTGTTTTCCTCTCTGTTGAATACCTGGGGCTTATAATTTTATGTCAGCTGTGTGTACAGGCTCCATGAAGGTTGCAAAGATAGAACCAACTGGAACTTTGTTCTGAAAGAATTTATGATTTCAATGAAAGATAAGATGTGTTCTTTTTTCCAGGATATAATTCAGAAAATAAGGGCAAAGAGTGATATGAAGAGCTGTTTAACATGATATATATTCAGTATGTAACTTTAATCATTTGAAGTAATGAAGGCTGTATAAGAGTAAATCAGTGTTTGAAGACTGTATCACAGTGAGTCAGATATCATAGCAAAATTATTTTTTGCTAAACACATAAAAATTATTCACATCTTCACTCTGAAGGTATTTATATCAAGTTTCTCCTTATTTAAAAGTAGGCATTAAATAGTTGATGCTGTTTCTAACACTAAACAATTTGAATAATCTGTATTGCGTTTTCTAAGCTTCAGCCTGCTTTCACATCTATTTTCTCTGTTGTTTCTCATAACACCTAAATGTGATAATGTGTAGAACTTGTTTGACAGATGAGACAACCAAGCCTCAAGGTCATTGGTCCAAACTTAGCAATGGAACAAAATTATAAACAAATACCCAGTATTTGATGGTTCTAATTCTTCTGTTCTTTCATATAGAATGTATTTTTTCAGTTTGTGGGCTTAAAAGTCTTTAAAAGGCTACAAATTTATTCCAAGTAATTAGTGGATCCAAATCATTTCACATGGGAAGTAGACTAGAAAGACACATTCTTACACATGTATTCTCACTATTATTTTTCCTTGAAGTTAAGATGCTTTAGTGACAAATACAATATAATCTCGTCTGAGTGTAATGAATGGATAGGTTTTTTGTTACATATTTTCTTCAGCCATTTTATAACTGTTATTATTATTTTAACATGGAAAATGATTCTTGCTGCCTCTTCTCCTGCAAGAAAAGCCATCAACTGTTTCAAATAAAACGCAAGTCAATCAATGAAAAACAACACTACAGAGAATTCTTTAAAAAACTTCCTACTGGTCTCTATTTTGGAAGCCTGTGGTTTCTTTGTAGTCTGAAGTGTTATTTTTAGTCTTCACTCAGAAGCCTAGAATTCTCATACTGACAAATGACCAAATTTTCCCTTTGTTCAAACTGTTGATGACACAGGATTCAAAAGTCCCATTTTTACCTTTATTTTTACAATTGTTAGGAAGTCTTATAAAATAGTAAAATACTTAAGTGGCCTAGATAGAACACAACAAAAACTACTTTCAATTTTATGTCAAAATGAATTAAAGACTGGTTCTGCTACTGTTGCACGAATGAAAAGGTAAAATATTTCTATTTAACTCCTTAATAAAAAGAAGCAGTTTCTGAATTAAAAATGATTTTTTTATTTGTTTTATCTGGAGTCAAAAGAAAACAATGGCAAAATGTGGAGAAGATGACCTCACTAGAGAAACATGACATAGGAAAGAGAATCCTATTAACCCCCTTCCTAATGCCCCTCCCCACAAGTCCCTCATCACGGGGATACTTTCCACAATGAAAGGAAGTGCTATTAAGAATTACGATGGAAGGTGTCGGACACACTGCCCCTTCAAACTGGGAATCATTTTCTTCCTACTTGTACAACAGAGGCAAACAAGAGATGGGTTCAAAACGTTTTAGAAAAATTGAAATATTTTAGTATTTCTTTCTATTCTCTTATACTTGAACTTTGACTCTATCTTAGCAAAATGGTTTGCAGGCTTAGTTGCTTTCCTGTTTGAAGACAGCAGGAATAAGTAATGTCCTTTAATATGTGACATTTCTTTAACCCTTAGGTCTGAGGTTTCAAATGTCTTGGTATTAAGCTAAGAGGTTGATAGAGGCAGATTTTTCCAAATATGCAAATGAGAATTAAAACAAAAGGTTGTTTTTGTTTAAAAAATAAATGTGTTCTGTTTCTTATGAAAATTAAGCAAATTTTTGTAAGCCCAGCTCTTGGGAGGCTGCAGCCTGAGAATTGCCATGAATCTGAGGCCAAGTAAGTTCAAATGAATTAAATTACATAGTGATACACTGTCTCAAAACAAAAACAGGAACAAAAACAAGAATAAAATATGAACAAATTTAATTCAAAAAGATATTTTATAGTAATTAATATAAATTTAAATTTTTAGTATATGTTTAATATTTTTCCCGTTTATACTGAGCTTACTATTTCTGCTTAGTGCTCTTTTACATTAGTTTTGTTTGTGCATTGTTACTTCTTACTGGTTAATTTATTTTAAAAACATGAAAATGAACCAGGCATGGTAACATATACCTATAATCCAGGATACTTAGGAGGCTGAGGTAAATGGTTCAAGACTAATCTGGACAACATAGCTCGATTCACGTCAAAACAAGAATAGAGAATGAAGTTTTTTATATGGAAATGCATAAAAGTAGAACATTTATTTAAAGAAGATGAAATGTTTATTATTTTACAGATTTAAATGCCGATTTCTGAGAGAACTAAAATGGTAGACTACTAGCAACAAAATTTAGCTTCTGCAAGATACAGAGTCTAGACACCTGGAAAATAAAAACTTGGCCAAGAGGAAAAATGAAGTATATCTCCATGAACTGAGAAAAAAAGACTAATAGGAAAATTATAAACTACAGAAATATTGGAGAGAGAGAGCACCATGCAAAGAAAAGAGCAAAAGAGTCTGGAACCTCTCACACCTGTGGAGGCAAATGAGTCCGAACAGAAGCAAAGTGAGCCTCCAGACTCTGGAGCTAAAGGGAAAGACAGTGGACTAGGCTAGTGCTACTCCCAAGATGAGCCCATGACTGCTGTAAAGGGCAAAAACAACTTGGGGTTTTACACCAAAAGTGACTCCTTCTATACTGCAGGCTACAGTTAGAGAAGGAATCACATTACCAGAATGTTTAATCAGGTCCCATTTTAGAAAGGAGTTGATTATTTAAGACTGAGACTCAGAACAGCTAGAAAACAACTTCATGGTTCCCAGTAGAACCCTCCCACCGTGATGGGTGGAGAGACAGCCATGGGAGACAGTTGCAGAGAGGGTATAGGCTAGACATAGATCCCTTGGGAAGTTTAAACTCAGGCCAGGAGGGACAAGTGCTCCACCCTCTGTGGTGTGAAACCAGGGCTAATTTGTGGCTGTCAGCAGCAACAGTCTCAAAGTACTGGCACTGAGTCCAGAGGGCTGTAAATATCCACCACAGATCAGAAGTCTGATTGTTTTTTCCATGTACCACTCTGAGAAGGGCATGTCTTGGCTTAGTTGATTGCAACAACCTGGAATGAACATATGGAGGGAGCCTCTGGATCAGGGGGTACCCACAAACCCACAGGCCATAAAGCTAGGCAGAG